CCCTTTTATTAATCCGGGGTCGCCACAGCGGAATGAACCGCCAACTTATCCAGCAAGTTTTTACGCAGCGGATGCCCTTCCAGCCGCAACCCATCTGTGGGAAACATCCACACACATTCACACACACTATGGACATTTTAGCCTACCCAATTCACCTGTACCGCAAAACTTTGGACTGTGGGGGAAACCGGAGCACCCGGAGGAAACCCACGTGAACACAGGGAGAACATGCAAACTCCACACAGAAACACCAACTGAGCCGAGGCTCGAACCAGCGACCTTCTTAATGTGAGGCGACAGCACTACCTGCTGCGCCACTGCTTCGCCCTATAATATATCCATGTGCATTATTTTAGAATTAGAAATATCATTTGCTTTTTGAAAAAGATGTTTGCGTAAATTTTTTCTGGTGTTTTGTTGGAAACGTGTGAGATTTTTAACATATGTACAGATGATTGACAAACACAAGTGACTTCCTCCTTTACTTTTATTAATAAAAATGTAGTTATACTATTATTTGTCAACTGTTATGCTCAGTAACAAGAGTTGACATTTTTGAATATTTTTTATTATAGATTTTGCAGACATAGGCATGAAATAAAGCATGCTTTAATAATATAATACAACAAGCAATAATTATTTTAGGTATTTAGAATTTGAAAATGTAATGAGGGCAAAAACAATGGGTGAATAAATATTAAAATGATTAATGTAATGACCACTTAGGCCCCGTTTACACTGCCAGTTAAATGTGACCCAATTTCGATTTTTTGCTCATATGTGTGGCAGATCAGATCTGTTCTATGGCTGTGTAAACACGAAAAAAACGCATGCATTCGCATATTCAGAGATCGGTTTCAGGCCTCCTTCATATGTGGAAATAAATCAGATATAGATCGTATATGTGACAATGCGACTGTCATGTAAACAGGCAGATCAGATTAATTGAGGCATTCCATTCTGTACATACTTAAACTTGCCCCAATGTGCTGCTTCTCCGCGGTTTAATGACATAGAAAGAAGAGCGTGTGTGGAGATACCACTGCAGTAAACAACAACAACAGAGGAAACATGGAGGAAAGTGGTCAGTCGCCATATTTTGCTCCCACCAGACCTGAGATCTCTCTCATACCCACACATTCCTCTGAACGGTGGAGGACACCATAAAGCATATAAACCATAAGCGCAAGATACGTTGACAGCCCTTTCCCACCTCCTCTGCCTCAAAATCATTTTAAAGTTGGGCGAACTTCGTGTTGTAACGTTTGCTTTTTGTTGCTATTAATACACGCACTGCGGGCTTCACATACAACAACTTTATTCTGTCCAACACCAGTGCGCACACAGGCAAAGGCTACATCTTCCCACTACACACACACACACATCAGGGCCATACTATTTCATAAACTGCGTGGGGGTAAATCTGGACTAAACCATTAACTGCTTATACTACACTTTGCATTTCACAGAGCTAAAAACAAGACAATTTCTTCCATCATGGCTACTGGCTAGTGTCGCAAAGATGCTAGAACCCGCCTTTATGCATGCGCGACATCATTAATTGTATGGCAAGTGTAAACACATGAACTGTATATGGGTCACAATTAAAAAGAACGTGTAAACGGACAGACAAAAAAGTCAGATATAGGCCACAAATGGGAATTGGGCATCAAGACCTGACAGTGTCAACGGGGCCTTAGATGCTTTTATAAATTACTAAAATGTTTTTGATAAGTAAAATGTTTTGATTTTAAACTAAAACATAATGGAAAGTGTCCACAGACTAAATCAAACAACAAGCAATTGTAATTGTCTGTAACATCTTGGTATCCCAAATAGAATATATTACACATAATTAAAAATAGCCAACTGAAAACACTGACACTGTGACCTCACAACATGACAAGCGATTTGTCTGTCTGCACCAAACACAATGCAACGTGACAGAAACATTTCGGGTGCTTTCACACCTGTGAATCGATTCAGTTGTTCCGAAACAGAGATTACAATTGTTACATTGTTGCTCTTTGCTCTTGGAGCGGTTCGCTTTCACACTGCAAAGTTTCTAAACGGACCAAAAGAGCTAAAACAAGTCACGTGCGAGTAAACTCTCCTCACATTGGTCAGAGTGTCAGGGTTTATTTTTGCAGCGTACTGCTAAACTGTCAGGAGAGGTGGTGGTTTGGTGGTGATTGACAGGGTGCGCGCGCGTGACGTGTCTGAGGAGAGACGTGGTGGGGAGGGGTGAAAAGGGTGCACGACGATGCCCATTTGAGGACCGGTAGGGAGATGCAAGATTACCGGGAGATCATCAATCGTTTGCGGGCATCCGGAGACTCGCGAAACTTCCCGCCATACTCATAATTCTCTCTTCATATAGCCGTAAGCCTATTACATATCCATAAAACACTGTGATATAACCGCGCTCGGATCGGATCGCTTTCTCACTGCAATCGAACTGCTCCAGGGTTCGTTTCAATCGAGCCGAGACCACCTCACTCAGGCGATCTCGGAGCGATTACTTTGGCGCAGAAAAGAGCGCAATTGCTCTGTTCACATACGCCAAACGAACTGCGCTAACTGGGCAATCGAGACACGTTCCGAAACAAAAGTGTAGGTGTGAAAGCACCCTTAAATACCAGCCACTGCACTCCCAGCAAAGTAATAAAGAATGCGTTCAAACTCTCATCGTTAAACAAAGCCCATAATCAGTACCTGAGGTGATCATTGTCATAGTAGTTTATGCTGTTATTGTGCCGTGACATTGCAGAAGTAGAAACTATAGACAAAAGCTCCTTTTAACATAGAATCCATTGATTTTATCGCATCACGGCATTGGGTGTAGTAAGTAAATATTGGAAATGTACAGGCAATTACATGATCACATCTGTGTGTTTTGGTCAGGTGGGAAGCACAAGGTGCGTGGTGATATAAACGTCCTCCTGTGTGGAGATCCCGGCACGGCTAAATCTCAGTTCCTGAAGTACGTGGAGAAGGTGGCGAGTCGAGCGGTGTTCACCACAGGACAGGGAGCCTCCGCTGTGGGTCTGACGGCTTACGTGCAGCGGCATCCCGTCAGCCGAGAGTGGACGCTGGAGGCCGGAGCGTTAGTGCTGGCGGACAGAGGAGTGTGTCTTATTGATGAGTTCGATAAGGTGAGAGAAACAGCCCTCAAATACTGTAAATGTAGATTTTATTTTGGTGTTTGCTTAGGAATAAGAAGAGCTCGACGTATCGTGGCTGTTTATTGTTGATGTATTGCATTTTTAAAGTTTGCATTTCATTGATTTCACTCGATACATATTGAAGCCGTTAGCTACAAAATCTGAATTGTAGATGTTTTTGATGCTCTGTTTGGGATCATTTTATACAATTGTTTTTGCAATTACATGCAAGTAAATCTGTTTTATTTCCTCTTCTGTGCTCTCTAGATGAACGATCAGGACAGAACCAGCATCCACGAGGCGATGGAGCAGCAGAGCATCTCCATTTCCAAAGCAGGAATCGTGACTTCTCTCCAGGCCCGCTGCACCGTCATCGCTGCCGCCAATCCCATCGGTGCGTTCTTCACACTTTAATGAGGGTCAGAACGTCATCTGTACTCTTAATTACTTTTCTGCAAGACTTAAAGTTATTTTCTTTGGTCCAAAAGGTGGACGCTACGACCCGTCTCTAACGTTTTCAGAAAACGTGGACCTGACGGAGCCCATCATTTCTCGATTTGATGTTCTGTGTGTTGTAAGAGACACTGTCGATCCTGTGCAGGTGAGTCTGGCAGCACTTTAAACTCAAGATTGTTCATTAATATTACCTTCAAATGTTCAAAGCTCAGAAATAAATTTATATTTAAATTGGGCTTAATCCATTGGTCGCTAGAGGTGGTTGGTACAACTAAAAGTCAGTTTCTTGGTACTAGTAATTTTACTTTAAGATAGTCATTTGAATAGATGAGTATTTCAACAAAAGTCAACAAATAAGGCATTAAATAATAAATCTTGTATGAAATACTTTAGAAATAAGTTGAAATTTACCTTATTTCATTTTTTGTTTGTTTTTAATTTAACCTTGATAAATATAGTATGAATAAACAATACAAAAAAAAGTATTGATAATTTCAAGCTCTTTTTGGCTGATGCTAATATCTTATTTTTTTGTATTTGTGTTTTCCCTATAATTTGTGGCTCATATTCATAAATTTAAATCAGACCTGAATGTTTTTTATTTATTTATTTATTTTTTTAACATTTTGTGAATTTCATAACACAAATTCTGCTTTATACCACATCTTACAGCTGTGTGGACAAACCTTATTCATATTATTATAAACTTTCATCAGGTGACATTTTCACAAGTATTAAATACCATTTAAATGTTGAAAAAAATCCAAAAATTTTAATGTAAACAACATGTTTTTGAAAAATGGACTCGCACTGCACATCATTTATATGTTGCAGTGTACATGGAATAATAAAAAAGCAATTACGGTTGCCAGTTTATTTTGCAATATATACAGCCCAGCCCTACCAATCACAATTATGAGGAATTATGTGTCTTTTTTCATATTTCTTAAAGCCCTAAGTGTTGTTGACTTTGGGCTGTCAATATTTAAAGAAAAGATTTTTGTTTGAAATGTTTTAAAGTCACATGACATTGCATACTTGCTGCTTGCACATTTAAAAGAAGTGAGGTTTGTAATTGTCAACCTGTTAGAACCGTAACGGACAATCTTAATTATATATTGTTATTATTGATTTATAGGTAGTTGTATATTGATTATATTTTAATTATATTGTTCATATTGTTCTATATTATTGGTCATAGTTGAAATCAATTTAAAGTGAAAGTCCCATTCACATTGTATGATTTCAGCCACGATTTGGTCGTCTGAGACAAATTGTAAAAGATTGTAGTGAACCTTACTACATGTAAATTTTCCACTGGTTGAGGCGGCCAAATATGGACCAGATTCCGGTCAGAGAATCAGGAGGGCAGGAGAAGTGGTGACGTTTGAAATATTTATTTTCTTCAACATAATCATCAGATTGCTCAATTATGGGTAATGGTAGTGAGAAATGAATAAGATGTAATGGTCTACAAAGGAAAAACAAATAAAGAAATAATTACAAATAGTATTGACTATGAATTGACATTAACATTGACTGAAACAATACACTGCAACAATAACATACGTCATAAATGTCCATATTAAACTCAAATATATTAACAGTAATGTCTGTTAGGAATGTGACAGTCTAATTAGCAACAACAGTCTAAAAAATGTCCGTTCATATAGGCAAACACGCTGATCGGCCGTCCATAACGGCTATTTATAGCTCTGGTCTAATGGCGATGACTCAGCAGAATTATCGCGGCCGCAAATAACCGCTATAGCGGAACATTATAGGCGATATAGACCTCAAAATAGTATCAGCATGCATGTTACATAAGTATTAGATGTTTCAGATTAAAACTTGTATAAGATGAACGCATTACAGAAAACAACATCAGCAGGAGCTAGCAATGATAGAGAACATAACAGCAGGTCCCATAAACTAAACGTCCACCCTAGAAACATGCAACGAACTTTAGTTCCTAGTCCATCAAGCAGGCTTTCTGACAAGATAATATTATATATTGATATCTTTGATTTATAGGTAATTATATATTGATTGTATATTAATTATACATTGTTTATAGTTGAAATCAAGTGAAAGTGAAAGTAAAGTCCCGTTCACACTGTGATTTCAGTCAAGATTTGGTCCCAAGAATAATTGGACTCGCAATAAAGATAAAAACAAAACAGATTTACTCCAATTGCATCCATTATTTAGTGACATTTAGCAAAATTCTAAATTGAGTTATTGTTTTTTTGTGATGTTTATTAGGCAAATAATGACCGATCAGCTCAAATATTCAATTATTTGTCCACATCCCTACTCTAAACTGCAACGAACAGCTCTTCAGCATTGATTTACCCATAATTCTCTGTGTGCAGGATGAAATGTTGGCTCGCTTTGTGGTCGGCAGCCACATCAAGCATCACCCTAGCAACAAAGAAGGGGGCGTGGCTGGACTGGAGGAGGTGGTGCTTCCCAACACATTCGACGTCCCACCGATCCCGCAGGAGTTGCTCCGCAAGTACATCATTTACGCTAAAGAGCGCGTGAGGCCCAAACTCAACCAGATGGACCAGGACAAAGTGGCCCGCATTTACAGCGACCTACGAAAAGAGTCCATGGTGAGTGTCGCATCTTTACCTAAAGACCAAATGTGGTACAATCGTGATTGAATCAATTCACGAAATTTCTTGAAGCCTTATTATAGCATTTTTTTTAACCATCATTTAACAAACGTTGATATGGCATTTCTGCAAGCAAATCTCTACTATAGTCTGTATAAATTTGGTGAATTCAGAGATCACCGATTGATCGTTTGTAGAATTGATTGAAGTCTACCAACTAAAGACAATTGTGAAGCATTCCACCATTTTTTAGCCCAATCTGCAGTTGTTTTCTCTAAAGGTGCAGGAAATGTGATCAATGAACCTTGTATTTTCCCTCGCAGGCTACAGGAAGTATCCCGATTACTGTGCGTCACATCGAGTCTATGATCCGTATGGCCGAGGCTCACGCTCGCATGCATCTGCGCGACTACGTGCTGGAGGACGACGTCAACATGGCCATCCGCGTCATGCTAGAGAGCTTCATCGACACGCAGAAGTTCAGTGTGATGAGGAGCATGAGAAAGGTGAGAGTCTACATTGTTATTGTGGATTTTGATTATCCAGCACGAACATTTCTATCAGCATGTTATTAAAAACTCCACATATTTAAGATCTCCCTACCGAATACTGAGAATTACCAAAATTCGCTGCCTCAGAGACAATATGAAGTGGTTCACTGACTTGACATGAAGCACTTCATTCGAGTCGCATTGTGCTGCAAAATATGAAAAATATAAACATTTTTAATTGAAGATGTCTGTAAAATATGAACATTTATTTTTATGCGGCATTTCACATTGCTTATGTTTAGACATTTTTCATCTTATTTTATTCATGGACAACTAAATGATAGTGGTGGGCAAAGCGAGGTGGGCTTCATGAAACACTAAAACAGTCAAAGCTTCGAAATGTTTCGAAACCCGTCTCCACCTACTGGTCATTTGTGTTTTTTTTTTTATGTGCTCTGAAACTGCTCCAGCAAAGAAACTTTTACACAAATTGACGTTTTAAACCTAACGTTGTAGAGTTGAAACCTCCAGTGATTCGAGTGGCGAGAGTTCCAGACTAGCATGCAGAGATAATAGGTTGGAATTCAGGGTTATGCAGCTCTAAATGTTAGTTTTTAAATGCTCTGTTCTTGTAACGCGTTTTGTTTTAACATTGGTCTGACTGGAATGAACACATTACGAATAAATATTGCTTTTGTCAATAAGTAACATTACTAAAATACATCAAGTCATTAGGGTATTTATACAAGTCGGGTTTCGAACCTTGGCCATTTCCAACATATTTACCTTGTTCGCAAGGCTGCATAAGACAGAGGATTATTTCCAACCCTGTCAGTCAAATGTAGATTTGCCAGGTCTCAAAACGCTTTTGAAATGGCGGATGCTTTAGTCACGTGACCTGGGTTTTTCAAATCATGCTACAGTGCAGTAATTCGAAACACTTGCGCTCTGGGATCTCGACACTGTGTCGATGTCGATTTCGCATCAGCCATCCCTACTAAATGAATGCTTTGGACCGTTTATTATTAGTAGTAATAGTAGTAGTTAATTTTAATTATAAACTCAGTTAAACAAATCTTGTCATTCATAGCCATTAGAAGAATCGTAGCATTCAAACTTTTTTCTTTTCTTATATTTTTTTCATAACTTTTTCTTTATTATGCTAATTTACATAATTTCTATTTTATACGGTACAAAAACATTGCGGATGTAAGGAGTGAGGTTTTTTGAATTCTGATTATGCGTCATTTCAAAGAAAAAAATGCTCTACAAAATAACTTATGAATTTAAATAACAAAATAACCTTTTTTTTAACAAAGTTACCAACAGTTTTATGGGGATTTTTTTTTCTTCCTCTCAATTGTGACTATGAATTAGGCTTATCTGTTTTAAGAAAGTTTGTTTTGTAAAAGTACGTAAACTATTTTAAACTCCAAATTGTAATAATCATCAATTATAAAAAAGCACAATTACCTTTTTTTTTTGCCAAGAAAATTAAGATATATTGAACTTTATAAATATATGACAAACTACATAGAACATTAATTTAAATATGCAGTGTGAAACACGCACAATTTTTGAACGAATTGCAATAGCAACCAATAACAACAAATTTTATCTTGCCATTTTCAATTATATTTTTTCAATTACAATGACTGGCTTAAGAATGTTCTGTGCATGTAGTACATTAACGATACGTTTTTCTATTTGTGTTGGCTAAATGCAATTCCAACAATCAATATTAAGTTGCATTATTTATCGCATTTCTACAGACGTTCGCACGGTATCTGGCCTTCAGACGAGACAACAACGAGCTGCTACTGTTCATCCTTAAGCAGCTGGTTTCTGAGCAGGTCTCATATCAGCGCAACCGTTACGGAGCCCAGCAGGACACCATCGAGATAGCAGAGAAAGACCTGGTGGACAAGGTAAATAACATGTCTTTAATCATATAGTTGAAGTCGGAAATATTAGCCCTTCTCTAAATTTGTTTATATACCACTTAATTTTCACATTAGCTGCCTTATTTGATAACGGAACTAAACCTCTACTTGTCGTCATATTTACTAATTAATTATATTTAAATAAAAATTAACTATTAAAATAGTATTATAGAGACTATAAATTATTAACAAACAATACACACATTATGTAAATACACTTCTTTCAGATGTAGTTTATACTAAAAATACTATATTAATTTTAAATAATGAAAAAAAGAACGTATGTTATTGCATGAACATTCTTTATTGAGATTCAATTATAAATTTGTCGCATTTTGTTCAGTTGATGTTTGTTTTTCTGATGTATTTTGGGAAATGCTGTTTCAACTAATGTATATTGGATTAAACTCAATTGATTAAAGTCGTTCAAACAGTATTCGGACACCATTACAAAATGGTGGATATTGAGTTATTTTGGACGCAGCTCATGGTTCGAGTGTTTACGAGTTTACATTGTAACTCTTGTTTGTCCTCAGGCTCGACAGATCAACATCCACAGCCTGTCTGCGTTTTACGACAGCGATCTCTTCCGCTCAAACAAATTCTCCCACGATGTCAAGAAGAAGCTCATCGTTCAGCAGTTCTAGCCTGCATGTGGAGTCTCCCGGACTTGTATATAATTTCGTCATGTGGTCGTTGGACCAGTCGTTCGTTACACATGGATTCCACATTTTGACTCCTTCATGAACTTGCTACCGTATAGATCTGCCTGGCTCTCGTGGTTTTGTTGACTGTATCTTGCATTGTTTCTGCTGTCAAATTAATTGAATGTTGTAAAAAAAAAATATGTGAGAACTTTTTGTACTGTTTGTTCGGAGTAATAAACTGAAGCTGTGTGTGTGCGATGGAATGTTTGTTGTGAATGTCATGCTTGTGCCAAACTTGATTTATGTACAGTGTTGCCAGATTGGGCGATTTCCCACCCAATTAGGTGGTTTTGAATTTGATTTTGCAGGTAACAAATGGCATCAGCGTTTGACAAAATTGGAGCGGTAAATTTTAAATGCAACTTGTTTAACAAAACAACTGTGTGCCTTTACTCTATTCAGTTAGAAGTAGCCTGAGCATAGCACAAACCGCATGGGCCCCACCCGCAAGAGGAGATGAAGGAAAGTTGTATCAAAATCAGACTCCCCTTCACACAGTGCCTGCAGTTAAACTCTTAGCTGTTTATCGTGACACTTTTATTGACTATTTTTTTCTGCGATTAACAGAAAGAACAAACAGAAACGTGTCTGATTGACAAGCAGCACATAATTAAGTTCAAAAGAATTTAAATCACCAAATGGGATGAATTTATACCCCATTTTGAAAGTAAAACATACTCTAACAGGTAGTGTAGTCTACACAACATTAGGTGCAGTGTTTCGATTTGATCCAGTTATGTTGTGGTTCTGTGACTGCTGGTGTTTGATGCTGTATGGTTTAAGAATTTTGACAAAGTAACTAGGTTAACTTCGATTCAAATAAATTAAAATGAATTTAAAGGCAAGGCGAGTTCATTTATATAGCACATTTCATACACGGATGCTATTCAAAGTGCTTTACATACACGAGAATAAAAAAATCAATCAAAAAAATATTAAAACTGATTAAAATGTGTAAAAAAACAACATAATAGTACAGTCTGTCGGATGTAGCGCAATGCTCATTCAGTAAAGGCACAAGTCTTGATTTGTGCCTAATGTTGGAGCACATCTGATCATTTCTGGAAGCTGATTCCAGCAGTAGGGGGCGCTGTCAGTAGCTCAAGGCTGATTCACCCTGCTTTGGCTGAACTTCTGGAATTTATAAATTACTTAATCCTAAAGAACTGAGTGATCTGTTGGGTTTGTATTCAGTGAGTATATCTGTAATGCATTGAGCTCCTAGGCCATTTAGTGATTTAGAGACTAGTAGTAATACTTAAAATCTATTCTGAATGTAACTAGAGCCAGTGTGAAGACCTGAGGACAAGTATGATGTGCTCTGATTTTCTTGTTCTAGTCAGAATCCTGGCCGCAGCGTTCTGGATGAGCTGCATTTGTCTGAATGTCTTTTTGGGAAGGCCAGTGAGGAGTCCATTACAGTAATCCACCCTGCTGCTGATAAAAGGATGAATGAGTCCTATAAGCGTCTTATTCTTGCAATGTTTTTGAGATGATAGTATGCTGATTTAAATATTAGATTAATATTTTGGGTGGTTTATTTTGTGCTGGATAAAGTGAGCTATATCTGGCAACCCTGCTTATGCATTTTCAAAAGTCATAACAGC